GCACCACGTACGCCCTCGGCTCCTCCGTCTTCGGCACCTCGACCCGCGACCTCGAACTCGTCGTCCGCTCCCTACAAGCCGGCATGGTTGCCGTCAACGACTTTGCAGTCTACTACATGGTTCAGATGCCGTTTGGCGGTACAAAGGGTAGTGGCTATGGGCGCTTTGCAGGTAAAGAGGGACTGAGGAGTCTGTGTAATCAGAAGAGTATTACGAGGGATCGGTGGGCTTGGGCGGGGATTAAGACGGCGATTCCGCCGCCTATGGATATTCCGTTGCGAGGGGAGGGTGCGGGGGAGATGGCGTGGAAGATGGCGGAGGGGATTGTTTGGTTGGGGTATGGGGATTTGAGGGGGAAGGTTAGGGGGTTGAGGGGTGTGTTGGGGGTGTAGGAGATGGAATACACTTGTGTTATACCGTATGGGTAGACTACGTGTACACATAACTCGATGTGGTCATCTTCGAATCGAAAATGCTCACGTTGACCTTCATCTTCATGCTTGTACGCAAGTCTGGCGATTCGAGTAGAGATTTGCCCGTCGTAGTCGATTAGAGCGTCGGTCTCCATTTCGTAATGGCGATGACTCACTCGTCTCGCTCCTGTATCTTGATCTCCACACACTCTCCATCAACGTTGCAAATGATAGTGTCAACGGGGTATCCCCGCCAGTGATGCCACTTCTGTCCCTCGTATTCGTTGAAGCTTTCCTTCTTTGCTGCTTTAGCCGTATGAACAGCTTGTTCACACATTTCCTTCATAGCCACCATAGACGTAGCAATTGGGACTTCAAACTATCAGTCCCCGAATTCATAGAAGCAAATGGAAGGGTGGAGTTTTACCACCATATAACTGTGCGAGAACAATAACCGGGGCAAGTGCAAGCGGCGCAACTATGAAGGCGGGCGTAAGTGCCCATGCCCCAAACGCTAGTGCGGCTGGGAGGAGCTGGCAGAACGCTTCCGGGGGTAGAGGACCAGAGTTCATCTTCGCGTTTTCCAGTTTGTTGTAGGTAGGACGCGAAGCTTTGACTTGTCAAATGGGAGGTCGCTGAGGTGTTAAGATCTATGGTTTGTTGGTGGCTTTTGAAGTAGTTGTGGCGAGTGAGATGTGAGTGGTGAGTGGTGAAAGTGAACCGAATAGAGGACACAGCACAACGCTCTTACGATGATTCCAGAAGAGACTTTACTTGCGCAGTTGAGCGTCTTGATTGCAGTCTAAGTACAGAGGAGTGATATTCATCTCCATTCTGGTATTAGGGCTTGTTCCATCAAACAGATGAATAGTCGTATCAAGGAAGACTAAGCTGACGCAGCATCACGAGAGGAAGCTGAATCAAGAGCACAACCCGTTCACCTCTTCTCCTCTGCTCACTCAAGTACCAGCTTCATCTTGTCGCTTGCCGAGCATCCATCCTTAGCGTCCTTCGAGCCATTTGCTCCCTTTGCGTATAGTTCCGGTCTTTGACTGACCACTTAACTTCTACAAGCGATTCTAGGTACTAAGTCAGCAACAGGGTCGTAACAAAAGGTGCAATATGGTCGTTTACTCACCTACGACTAATCGTCCCACGTTGAGCACTATCGCGGGTGGAACTACGATGGCTAAGAAGGGAATGAGGATGCAGAGCTCGATCGCATTCTTCATTTTGCTGTTCTTGCGGGCGCTTTCGTCGGTGTGATGGTCCTCGTGAAGTCTGGAGTAAGCTGGGGGGTTGACATCGTCGCCGTTACAGGGGTTGTTGGATGCCATGGCCTTCGGTATGAGATGGTACTGTGGTCGAGATGTAGAAAATCTGGGGGTGTGGGTAGAGTTTGATAGGTCAAGGCGATGGGGGTTTTGTGAGTCGGTATTAGAAATTTCACGAGCGGTTAGGAATAATTGGTGAGTAGTAGGTGTTGGAGGTAACCAGAACGATGACCGTGGAGATAGCGCTGATGTTGTTTTTAGAACGAGGTCCAGTTTGGAGAAAGAGCTACCATTCATTACCGTTCCAATCCACCTTCCCATTCGTGACAGATCCATCCTTCCGTTCGCATCTTCGTGTCAACTGACTACTCTCCTCAGACCTTGTACAGATTTCTAAACAGATACGGTAGCATGAAGTCGAGATCGTAGTCCTTGCTCTTCCAATGGTTCTCGTGCTTTCCGACCATATTTTTGATCTCCGCGAGCACAATCTCCCGGTAATCGTACGTCGAATCTAATCGCTTCGACCAAGCTCTCAACTCTGTTGCGCCTGTTTTGCTAGGTCTCTGCGACAACCATGCAGCGCGGTGATCGAACTTGGCGATCAAGTACCCTATTCTGACTGTTAGCTCGTTCTAAAGGGACGTTACTGCGGGCAACTTACATGATGAGCCGACAACAGGATACACGTAAAGCGACAGGTTAAGATCAGACTTGGCGAACACGGATGGCAGTTCGCGTAGTTTTGGAAGCTCGTAGTTTGGCTTCCTGTAGTGCCGATACTTCAGTGTTACGTCGATTTTTGATCGCTTGCTGAGCTTTTGCGCTAGTGCTTCCATGTCTTCCATGATGCATACTCGGTCGCGGGTAGTTGCGCATATGACGAGCCGACAGAGGTTTGGTGGCAGGAGGTCATCCGCGGCATGAGAGTAGTGCACTTCGAGCTCGATCAGAGCAATGAAGCTGGTCAAGATCCCATGGTCAGTCGAAGTGCTCTTGGGGGCATGCCAGCAGCACGTCTTGAGGGTGCGCAGAGTGCTCGCATGCTCATGTAACTGCTGGAGTAAATGCAAATGATGAGGTGCTGCCCAATGGTCGCAGTCGCTATGTCGTAGGACACGCAGTGACTTGCAAGCAGATACAGCTTGTGCAATGGTCGTCAATGGGACTGCGCACCTTTCAAAGTCAAGTACTTCGATCGGTGACGAATGAATCGCAGCTTCCATATTTTGAGTAGCCATGTGGAATCCACCTCCACCACTCAGAATCAGCGTCTTGAGTACCGGTAGCTGGAACAGCGGGGCAATACACTGCCATGATGTGGTCCGAAGGGTGATCTCTAACGTGGATAAATTATTGGTCCATTGCGGCAGTGGAGAGCCTGCTGCTAGAATGCCTCGAATGGGTTCGAGATAGATAGGGAGTTTAAATGAGTTCCCTTTCTTTATGGGGTTCGGAGGATGCAGAGCACGGATAGAGTGTATCTTGGGTTCCAAGCTCAGTAACAGAGCAATGGCCAAGTCCGGTCCATACGAAAAATAATCGTAAGCGAGACGGGGGTGTTGTTCGTGAAGCCGATGAGCCCAGGTATCTTTGTCCAATTTCTGGAGGCATTTTCGCATTTGCTTGTGGGTTATCCTGATAGAACCCTGAATAGTAACCTCGCGAAGATGCTCAGCTAACTCAGGCTCCCGCACCGCGGTTCTGAAGTACTGTCGAACTTGCATGCTGTCGCCTCCATTTTGGCTAAAGGAACTGTACAGGGCTGGTACTACGCGCTGACCGATATCTTTGTTGACGAGGGTTAGTTGGTAGAGAGCCCCTTGCGGTAGGTAACTGCAGACGCTTGACAGGATCTCTTGTGGCAGAGACTGGAGAGGCGAGATACTTTCCTTGGGAGCTTGACTATCCATGACCGTTTACGTTGAGGAGAACGGTTGGTGGAGATCAAGTTGTTCTCATGATTGTTGAGTTTACACCAGATTATTGAAGCATGTAGAGTACTTCCAAACGAGTAAATTCACGAGAAAACAGGCCCTCCGCCTACCTGCGGCAACGATTGGCTGGGGCGATGGTCTCGGGCCGAAGTTGTTCTCATGCGATGTTTTCGCTCGGCTTTTTGACTGGGAAAGTTGTCCAGGCGAAACTTTAGATCCCCTCGTGGCGTAACTGGACGTGCGTGGAGCGAGCATAGTTGGGAGGCGGCAAATGCTCCTGTGTATTTCACTTTGATCTGAGCAGTCTGAGCCATAGCAGCTTTCGGATTTCCCCTGGTGAATCGATTCGAGAGTTCCCGAGGCCTTCATGGGTTCCTCGATTGAGCGATTCCGGCGTGGCACGTAGCAAATGAGCGAAATAAATCACACCGTGACGTCAGGTCAGTCAGTGCCCGTCGCAAAGGTAGTTTCTGAGCGTTGGCCATCTTCAGAAGCAGTTTTTGATAACGTACTTGTATGGGTTGTCATCCTCTTAGCCTTCTTGAGTTGTTTTGTTGCGCCCACTGGAAACCGCTTCTTTCCGCCGCAAATGAGACAAGTAACGACGAGTACATCTGCCCAAGGCTTCTTACCGCCTTTGCTGGGATTTTCAATATTTTGAGTAAGAGTCCGTCCAGGAACAAGGATTGTATTACAGCTTTTGCACATGGAGCGCTTCAAGTCGACAGCCAGCCGTAGCTGGCCTTTCCGTGACACCTGTTGAAGATCGGATCCGAGTTCGAGTGCGAGCGGTGAATGTCGCTGGGTATCGATCGAGCCGTCCTCTTTGTCTCGCGCGATATCAGCTGCGACGTCCTCTTGCGTAGCCGTTTGCAGCGTCAGATATGTGGCTGCTTGGTAGAGAAAAGTCGAGCGGGCGTGCAGATGCTTGTTCGGGATGCCCTTCGTCTTTGGTGCTTTGACCTTGCTCATGATGCGCCGCTGTATTGTCGTCTGGCCTGCTACGTAAATTACGGTTTCACAGATAGATGATAGAAGGTCAGAGGATTTGCAGTGGTGGGTCGTGATTCAGAGCAGTCCGCTTGCGGCCTAGCGCGCGCCCAGCAAGGCGCCCCGAGCTTTTTACCTCGACATCAGCGCGGCGACCGCTCTTGTCCACCGCCCACCACGTACCTCTCAAGCCACAGCAACCTCGTCGAATTCGCGTTACCGTGAAATCGCGAAACAACTGCTGATCTCTTCTACTCGTAGCTCTTAGTATAATACCTCGCCTCGGTACCGTCGCGACTCCACTTTGTTTGGCAGCCTTGCTTGCGACACGCGCAATCACCGACTCTACACACCACACACACTCTTACACGGACACATAATCCATCATGTCTCACGAGGAAGATCTCATCGACTACTCCGACGAGGAGATCCAGACGACTGATGCGCCCGCCAACGGCAGCGCAGCTGCAAGCAAGGGCGGCGTCACCGCCGGTGATGCTGCAGGCGACAAGAAGGGCAGCTACGTCGGCATCCACTCGACCGGTTTCCGCGACTTCTTGCTCAAGGACGAGCTCGTACGAGCAATCACGGACTGTGGCTTCGAACATCCTTCCGAGGGTTAGTCTAATAATTCCCCTCAGCCTTATCCACCTACAAGCGTCTGTCCATCTACGAAACGAGCACTATCTGTAATGCGGCCTGGTCTGTCTATATTCGAGCAAAGTGGCGAGGGACCGAGTGCCTTCCGCTACCTACGAGCGTCGACGCGCACTGCATTCGCAGGCGCACCGGTATATGCATCGAGAAGCCAGTGGTGCCTATTGGCTCACTACCGTGGTCCCGAAGGACTGGTTTCAGGGGAGGAGTGCATGTTGCGGGTGTACAGGAGGAGGCACACCATTGAGCGTATGGGGAGGATAGACAGACTGGCACGCGCGCTAGATGGAAAACCTCGGCTACACAAGATGGACGGACGCTTCGCTTCCCACGCTTCGTTTCGACCGTTTTAAAGACCATTCTGACATAACGTGTGCCCTACAGTCCAGCAAGTTACCATTCCCCAGGCCATCCTAGGAAACGATGTCCTCTGCCAGGCCAAGTCTGGTCTCGGAAAGACTGCCGTCTTCGTTCTCGCAACCCTCCAGCAGATGGACGAGAAGCCCGAGCCCGGTACCGCCACTATCCTGGTCATGTGCCACACTCGCGAGTTGGCCTACCAGATCCGCAACGAGTACAACCGCTTCGCCAAGTTCTTGCCTGACGTCAAAGTTGGTGTCTTCTACGGAGGAACTCCCGTTCAGAAGGACATCGAGCTCCTTAGCAACAAGGATACCCACCCTCACATCATCGTCGGTACTCCCGGTCGTATCAACGCCCTCGTCCGCGATAGGCATCTCCGCCTTGCCAACCTGAAGCACTTCGTCCTCGATGAGTGCGACAAGATGTTGGACCAGCCCGGTCAGTACAAATCGTCCGTCCCAACTGACTTCCGCTAACACTTTGCAGACATGCGCAACGACGTTCAAGCAATCTTCCGCGCTACACCCCAGCACAAGCAGGTGATGATGTTCTCCGCCACCCTCAACAAGGAGGTGCGCGTTGTCTGCAAGAAGTTCATGCAGAACCCGCTCGAGATCTACGTCGATGACGAGAAGAAGTTGACGCTTCACGGTCTCCAGCAGTACTACATGAAGCTTGACGAGAAGGAGAAGAACCGGAAGCTTAACGACCTTCTCGACAGCTTGGAGTTCAACCAGGTCATCATCTTCGTTCGCTCCACCCTGCGCTGCTCCGAGCTCGACAAGCTTCTCCGCGAGTGCAACTTCCCCAGCACTGCTGTCCACTCTGGCATCAGCCAAGAAGAGCGGTATGTACTCAACTGTACCCCACTCGCTAGCTCGAAACTAACGTTTTTCTAGTATCAAGCGCTACAAGGAGTTCAAGGAGTTCCAGACTCGCATCTGTGTCTCCACCGACATCTTCGGTCGTGGTATCGATGTCGAGCGCATCAACGTGGCCATCAACTACGACATGCCCGACAAGGCCGATGCCTACCTCCACCGCGTCGGTCGTGCCGGTCGTTTCGGAACCAAGGGTCTCAGTATCTCGTTTGTGAGCAGCCCAGACGACGAGGCTGTCCTCAAGTCGATCGAGGAGCGCTTCCAGGTCGAGCTTCCTGAATTCCCCGAGGATGGTATCAACTCGTCCACCTACATGGACAACTAAAATCCGCCCGGACGGAGTGACGGAAAAGGTGCAGGAGAGGGTTCTTTCTTTTGGACAAAAGTCACGATTGACCTTCGGTGCAATGAACACGTAAGCAACGGCGCAAGGTGGTTCTTAAGTTGGTGAAGGCTGTTCTGAATTCCAGTCTTCAAGAGTTATTATCTCACTATGAGAGGAACCAAAGAAATTGATATGCGAATCTTCTGTCCACAATGACTTCTTTTGCGCAAATGTGATCTCAACGTTCCGACGTTCTAGACAACGAGCACGAACATGACACTGTACCTTGTTTCTTTTTCTCTCACCCGCATTGCTTTGGCTGAGCACGACATCTTCTCGGCTCGGGCAATCGCAAAAGCAGGCCCAACACGCCCTGCTTCCGAAGAGTGCCGCGTGCTAAAGAAGAATGGAAAAGACGTCGGAGTCCGAAGCTCTGTCTTTCTCAGCGTATTCCTAATTATAGGCTCATTGGTGCTCGAGCGTGGAAGCTAGAAGAGGGCTTTTCCCATTTGCTTCTTCCTCAACCACGGCCACTGCCGCAGTAAGCGACTATCGTCGCTTCAGGGTCTGTAGATCTGTCGTATGAAAAGGGTAAATGTACATTTTGGTAGAGAAAAGTACAGATGGCTTGTGGATGGGTTACCGAACGCGTGGGACAGGAGTCTGGTGTACATAATGGGTGCTTTCATGGTGTTACCGAGGGCTGAGACGTGCTTGTGTAGGGAAAGGCTGCTGGATACACATTGGTTTGCTCTCCCGGTCTGGCGGGGAATTTATAAGCGGTTTCACTATGCGACAGACGTTCAGCCTCCTCTGAGCGGTATCGAAAAGCTGTGGAGTTGCGTGTCAATGTTCCATCTGGAACCGACCAGCCAGAACACCATACAGCAAACGCGACTACAAATTCTAGCAATGGCTTGGTTTCGGAAACGGCATGATCCTACCATGAGCTTGAAGGCTTCGGTATTTCGTGTTGTGCCTACTAGACTCATGCAATCCTCTTGAAAAACTTGTAAAATAGTCGGCCAATCTTGTAGCGAGGATGATAGAGTCGCTGCAACAGAGACTGTGCTTTACGAATGTAGATCAGCAAACAGCTTCTCTTCTCTAGATCGCGGGCCCCGAGCCGCATATCAGCTATAAGCAAGCCCCCAGTCTATATGTTCACGGGGAACATGTACCGATCTACGAGCCGATACATTACCAGAACATGACATAAGATTCGCTCTCCACTTGGTGTATACTACGTCTGGCTATACTATGGGTATCGCATAGATTACTCATATCCGATATGAGCACAGTTGTTGGTGCGGCAGGTCAGCGGAGAAAAGTTGGCGGGATGCCTGCGGGTTCCATATGCGCTCTCACGGGCAAGGGCTGCTACCAAAGCTCATCTCGCTTCTGCAACTCCCGTTCGAGCATCAACGGCGTGTCCGTACTTGCATATCACATCAATAAGATTTGATAGACGTCGAAATATGGTTGCGGAGCATAGAGCACGGCTGCGACAGGTTCCGAGCAAGCGATCAGAGTCGCGGGTGCCCCTAAACGAGACGATTGGTGAGTTGAAGATCATCGGTATTTTGTCAACATCAGGGACTATTGGTCTCTCTTTAGCCGACAGACAGAAGTTGGTAAAGTTGGTAGGCGGTGTATGCGGGAGACAGAGGTTTGGAGGGGCCTGCCGCGTATCGCGACCACCATCCATAAGGTCGGGCTCAACATAAGGCGATGATCACCGCGTTGCTATTTCGATATTTCTATTGCGGAAATTCGTGATGTGAAGATCGACAGCGGCGACCGAGTCCCTTGTTCGGCAGCCGCGCACATTGCCGGGCCGCAGTGGCGCCACATGTCAGGAACAAGAGCAGAGTGACTCGCGTGGCGGGGCGGCGCTCAGGAGCACGAGCGAGGATCTCGGAAGCGGTTAGTGAGGTTGAAATGAGACATGGGTAGCGAAATGTCAGAAGGCTAAAGCCACATAGTTTGTGATTCGATAAGAGGTAAAGAGATGCAGAGTCGTGTTTCAATAATGCAGTGACTATCGCGAGACGTCTGTCGAATCGATTTGCTGATAATGCGGCGAGCCGTGTCGCCCCTTTGCAGATGAGCTTCAGGGAGCGTGTAAAGTGATGGGCAGAGGGGAAGGGATCTATTTTGAGATGATGTTCCGAAAGCGGTTGCCTCACCGCATATGATAGGGTTTTGCATTATAGGCAGGCTTGCAAATCGCAATCGTCATTTCCCATACATGTTCGATCGCATTCATGTGGCGTCTCAACTGTAGTGTTAGCGCGTATGATTGCTGTGTTAGCGGTTGAAACATCTAGGCTGTCCCGCTCCCCGTGTATACGACGCGTGTTATGGAACATGCTGAGCGACCGTTGGCCGGAACGCGTGCATCCTAGCTGGACGCGTTTTCCACGTCCGTCGTCTGCTAGTAGTTCGACTGCTTCCAACGCGGCGGGAGGATACGAATACGGGATCCCCTGCCCCGGGCGCAGGGAACATCAAAGGCGCGATTGCTTAGCTAGGTTAAGGCGTTAAGCTTTTCAACGTTGACGGACGAAATGGAGTGGTTGTAATTCCCGCCTTCTGGCGCCCGCTGTCAGAGTCACCGGCATCGCGCGGCAACTTCTGTATGTAAGACGTACCACGGTGTGAAAGGAGACCGTGGGCGAGTCCAAAGAATGGGCTAAGTAAGTGAAGGCTAGCGTTGATGTGCTACGTAACGGAAGTAGAAGGAGCGACCACCGAGCGAGTGCAACTAGCTGTGTTAGAGTCGCCTGCGGCCAAGGCAGAGATGAGATGGGCGAGGAAGGAGCGGTCGCGTCTGAAGCGAGATCTCGATCGCAGTGGGTCGGGAGTCGACAGCGCGAGGGCGATGGCTTCGGTTCCAGATAAACTCGCACAGTTTGATTGTGTGAAGCTGTTGAAGCTCAGTTGTGCGGGTAGGAGTACACGGAGTAGGCGAAGGAAGCAGTGATCATGGACAGTGATTCGCGCATGTCTTGGCGAGATGTCCTATCCAGGAGCAAGTCGCGGATCTGCTGCATGCGGCGATATCACAGGCTGCTGGCAGTGGTCGACGCAGCTGGTGGCGTATTAGAATGTGGCAAGAGCGACAGCTAATTATTGGAGTGCAGATTGATGGGTTGCTCAACCTCAGACACGGCGAGCGCTGTGTATTGCTGCTGTCGTGTTGGCTGCTGGCACATGTACCCGGGCTGTGTTGGGCGCTCCAGTTCTGGTCTGATTTTGTAAGCTCGCACGCGGCTCGGGTGCGGGAAGCAAGTCGAGCCGTGCATTTCCAGTCGGTGGGTTTAGTCGCAGGAAATGGTACGGTAGTGGCTCCGGGCGGCACTGCCGCTCGCGGCGAGGTGGTGGTGAAAAGACCGAGTCCAAGGTACAGCTAGGCCCACTGGTTATTCTACTGAGTAAGGCTGCGCGAGGACTAAACTCGACGGAGCAGCAGCGGGCGTAATGAAGCTCCGAGCAGTGCAAACGGCCCAGGTGGAAATTAGCCATAGCCCTATCTGGGCGGGGCTGTATCTCGGACAGTGGCAGCCCCTTTTAGAGGATTTTCAGGCTGCCCGTTGAGAGATGGACCAAGGATGGGACTTGACAGCGGTCGCACGGCCCCCAGTTCGACGGTGGAATAGGCGTTGGGACGGTCTGGTCTTGGCCCAGACGTAGCGAACGTCGACGTCAGACGCGCGGAGCTGCAGTGACGACTAGCACGCGAGTTTGATTGGGCCTAGCACGGTTGCGGGCTGGCGCTGACGGTGGTGAGTTGTGAACCAGACGCGCGCAGGTGGTTGAGGCAGCGTGCCAGCGCCGTGTAGGAAGGGCGACATAAAGCTAGCCATGGCCGGCGCGCTCGACACCAAGCGCGAGGTGCAGCAGGTTTTCGTGATAGGCGAGGGCTTCAGATCGTCGAGTGCATGTGGGCGAAGCGGATCTCCATGGCTCGCCGGGATGATGCCGCGCACGCATCCAGCAGCCAGGGCTTGCGAGGTGGATTTGTTTCCAGCGTGTTTCCACGTCTGCTCAGCAAGACGCTTAACAAAACGCTCAGTTTGCAGCGCGTCGCAGAGGCAATGGCAGCCTATCCGTGATCTGCGTTCGCGCTGTCGCAATCATGAGCACCGTCAGCGCAATGTGCACGCCACGCCGCGCATATGCCTTTTTATGAAGCAAAAAAACAATGACGACGGGCACGGCCCCGCCCATAATAAATCAGCGATGGATTTGGCGTCGACAGCGATAAGTGCAGGGCCTGTGCCCAAAGCATTCTAGTGGGCACCAGCAGGCAGTCAGCGGGATATCAAGCCAGTCTGCGTGGCAGCGCATCAACCTTGCTTGCACTTGCTTGCTTGTCTGCTACCGCTACCGCTACCGCTGCCTCGACACCCAGCATCCTCACCCATCCTCTGTCCTCTGCCCTGCACTGCATCTTTGCTGCCTGCGTCCGCTCGCTTTGTAGAGACTCTGCCGTGGAACCCGCGTCCCGCCGTGCGCTCCTTCTCACGCTGACCCGACGCCAGCAGTCGTGGTAGCTTCCTGACCCTCCGCCGTCTGCGCCCGTCACGACCCAGTCCGTCTGGTCTTGTCCCGTCCTGCCTCCTCACCCGCGCCTCTCTCTTAATGTTCTGCTACGAGTCGCCCCAGTGATTCATCTCCCAGGCCGCCGCACACTCGTTTCCGCTACTATCTTAATCGATAATTCACCTGCCGCTGTCCGTTGTTGCCCGCCAATTGCGCTACATCGAAGCGCGCTCCCAACGCCAACTTTTTGGCTCTCCTCACCCTCACCACGCCGCCGCTGTCGCCTGTCACCTCGCGGCCCACCCTAAGGCGCTCCCAACATGGCTCCAGCAGTCCCCCGATTACGCATTCTGTCAGGTGCGTCATCTCCCCGCGAGCGTCGCACGGCAGCCGACGGCTCCGCTGCCCTCGCACACGCTCTGCTTGTGCCATATACGCCGCCCACGCCTGCT